ATGCAATTAGCTGATTTCCACTGTTACTATCATAACAAATATATAATACCTGGTAATAATTGACATTTGAAATCAAAATGCTTGCAGCTATTTCCTTATATAAAAATATGTGTAGAAATAGTTAGTGAAATCAGTTCAATAGGATATTTATATAAAAGCTTAAAAAATTTTATTGTATATTTGCAAAATCAATTTAGCTTCATGATACCATATTAGACTATCACTTGTTAGATTCTTTGTTTCAATATTTTCAAAACGAAAAAAACTTTCTCCTCCTACTATTCAAGGAGAAAGTACGTTTCAAACTCCAAAAACCATGTGCTACTTATAAATACAGGTAGGCAAGAATGGTAGGCTTTACAGCATCCCAAATGTTTATTAAAAATTAATATTTCCTCCCACACTAATCCTATTTTAGTGCAAACATAATAATACAATAAATCCTTTTTATAAGTGTTTTATATATATAGCATGAAAGTCCTTGTATGACTAGCTACGAAAAAATCATTCAGATGGGGGTACGTACGAGTTTGTATTTTAGGTCGCATTATTTTTTCTGGTATAAACTTGCTTAAGTGTCCACTTTTGCGCCCAACGGAGCGGAATCTAAATCAAATAAATTTACGAAGAGGGTAGAACAATAATATATTTGTTTATGTGTGTTCTTTTTTTTATTAAAAAAATGGCTTACCATTTTCTTATATTTCACAACATTATTTTTATGTTATCTGCAAAAATATTTTTTTTTTATATTATTTCCTTCAGCTAATAATTTTTTTGTTTATGCTACAGGTAATCCAATATATCCTTGCCCTAAAACTAAAATGCCTACACAAATATTTGTGAGATACATTTTATGGTACGTTATGCGGCATGTTTGTAGGTAGGTGGACTCATACCCCAAATACACGTACATATAAATTTTCCCATAGGAACAATAAGTGACAATAAGTTTTGTTCAGGGAGTTGATAGTTGAGTTAAGGTTTTAATTGACAGAGAGCTATGTACGGTGAAACTAGTTGTTTTATCAGAAAAGATTTAAAGAGGTAATATAAGTCCCACTAAAATGAGGGCAAAGGATCTAATAGTCCAATTTCATTATTCTTAGTTAACTTTAAAATTAATTTTAATGTTAACTCACAAATAAATAAATAAATAATACGAGGGCGATTTGATAAGTCAGTGACTTTTTGAGTTTTTCACGCTGTTACTCCAAATGCAACAGTGCTGCCGTCAGCTGTAAACTACCAGTGGGCAACTTTCTAATTTTGAGCAAGCTATGTCGTGTCCGTTCAAAACAGACAACCTCGTGAATTTTTATGAAAATGGAAAAAAATGAATTTCGTGTGCTGATTAAGCTTTCGTGGCCAAAATTCACGAATTGGGATACGAACTGCTAGCCCATCCAGCATATTCTCCAGATTTAGCCCCCTGCGACTATTTTCTGTTTCCAAACCCAAAGAAATGGCTGGGCGGTAAGAGATTTGAGTCGAATAAATAACGATTTACCGAAACACACACGTATTTTAAGAGCTTTTCTCAAAGTCTATTATTTGGAAGGAATTAGAAAATTAGAAAAACGCTGGACTAAATGTATCGAGCTAAAAGGTGATTATGTAGAAAAATAAAATGTTTATTTGCCGAAAAAAATTTGTTTTATTCAAAAAGTCACTGACTTATCACAACAGATCCCATGCCTATGTAAATCCCAATACATGATTTGTAAGGAATATTATAATATAATTAATAATATTTTAACAAAATTTTTAAACAAAAAGTGTTTCATAAAATCATTATTAAAGACACTCTGACGCAAAGTAATCAAACGTACTTTAACGTATATGTTTTTTGCAATATATACTAAAGCATCTAGGAAGTAGAATAATTTTTTTTTTATTTTTCACACACTTTTAATAAGGTGTAGAATAAAAAGCAAATGTAAGAAAAATTAGATATCCCTAATGGAAGTTGATATTTTTATTTAATTTATAGCTTAGAAATATATGTAAAAAGTAAGTTGTTACTTTAACGAATTTGCATTCATATTCCTATAACTTTAAGACACATCACGAGTATCGGCACTCTATAGTTATATAACTAATTGCATGGTATGTGATATTATATTCTTATTCTTCTTCTTTAATTGTAATAAAGTTTTGATTTACCGAGGTATATATAAAGGTGTTAGCACTAATGTTCACACAAGTCAAAATCTATTTTACGCTTTTCTTCTCAAATTTTGCTGTTAGTATTGTCATCGCTGCCGAATATGCTAACCCTATATCAGCCTTATATAGTTTAATATAGTAATGATAATTGTCAGCAATACAGAAGTACAAGAAGCAACAATGCAAATGCAAAAACTATGAAAGAAAAATTCTTAATAGGACGTCCTTCAAATATAACGTAATGTGAAAGGGAAAAATCAGGACTTGCTTAGTGTATTTAATTTATTTAATATTATGTTTCATTTATTCAAGATTGTACATATTATACTTTTTAATTATTTAATTATAATAATATTTACGTTATATCACAATACTGAATGTTATTATACAATCAAATTAATTTATTCCCATATATTCATATATTATTTACATAATTCTTCACATTTCGTTTATTCTCTGTTATTTTTATTTATATATCTCAGTTATTTTATAATCATACGTTTCATAACATTATACACACCATTTTATATCCTATTTATTTTTTTATTAATTACACTCATCAAGTGAAATCATTACCAACGACTCAGGTCTACTAATTTCAGAAAGGAATCTGGAAAATCAACAGATTACAATTTACCAACAACTGAGCTGCTTTTCTCGCATTGTCCATTTATAGTACAAATAAAAAGCTAGTAAGACAATCCAAAATTCAACTGAGATCAGTGAATAACCAGTACACAATATCATTGAAATACGAAAGAGATATTAAGAGATATATGATTCTTAACATGAATCAGAGTATCTCCAGCAGAGCAATAAGTACTGATCTCATTAAGAACTGCTCGTGGTAGTTTCGTGGTCTACTTCGACTAATCCTTCAACTCTGTGGGGCCACTTGTTGGACAGTGCGCTGCCCCAACGTCCCATATATATAAGAACTGCTCAAAAATATGTCCATAATCGTTTCTGGAAGTAACAAAACAATAAAAATAAATGAAAAACTACGATAGGCTGTGAAAAATCCAAACAAATCCAAACAATTTATTAAAAGTTCTGCTGGATAGAACCAAGATAGTAAAACTTGTGCTGAACAATTGGATACCCCTTTCAAGCAGATATGTAGGAACTACACATAAGAAGGGAAAAAAGGAACTACTGCCCAGGCGCGAAAAATTGAGATATTGTATAATAGACATCCAAACAAAGATTTAAAAATATAATCTATTTTATCAATAGTATAGGTTAGTTTTAAAACAAAACAACGCATATTCACCAATTGGAAACAAGCGGAAGGTGTACAGTATTCTGTTCTACACTCTAAAGTAGAGTAACACGTTACTGTGGGAACCTATACAAATCTGTGATATAGTGTTATATTGGAAGAGGGTACAATTTTTCAAAAAAACTCTTTCGCTTTGCATTATATTTTATATCTTTTCTGTACATCATATATTTCTAAATGACGAATTTTTTCATTTATTGTTATAAATAGTTATAACTAGTTTACAAACTAACGAACAAATATTAAGTTTAATATTAAGTTTAATTGAAGTATTAAATTTCATATGAGATAATTATTGGATTTGCGCTTTACACAATATTTACAGAGCATATTTGATGTAGTACCAAGATATTTGAAGAATTTGGTATTTTGTTTTGATATATTTGGTTCTTGTACTTGAATAACACCATATATATGATCCGATACGTATAATATATATGGAGTTATGTTTACTCCTGTGCTTTAGCAGTTTTTAGTGATGATAATCAATATATACAATTATTTGGAATCAATATTTCATCGATATGTAAATGATAAATTAATTAAAAGATAAAATAGTTAATGACAATAAACAGAACCTCATTTCATATTTTACTGCCAATACCGTCAATGATAAACAGATGGTCTCTATGATTTATATAATCGAATTTGTATAGAATAGGTATACTTTACTTATACTTGTAAGAAATTCGTTATATCTGTAAGATATATCTATCTATAAGATATATTTGTAAAATAAATCTGTGAGATGTATCTGTAAAACATATCTATATATGTTGAAGCTAGTTGAGTTGAGTCAGTGCACCTGAGCACTTTTACTCTCTATTAACTGCGAGGTTTCTTCAAAACCCCTCTTTACGCCTTGACTGGATTATTGTTTATCACTTCATCAGACTAAGCAATAATTGACTTCAGATCTGCATATCTCCCCGAGGACCCTGTAACCATTCTGAGATTTGATAACGCAGTGTTAGTAAGTCTGTCAGATTTCGCAAATAATTTCAGGACTCTATCCTTTATGTATTTTTTGATGGGATCAATCTTGAGGTCCCTGAGTATGTCATTCGTCCTAATGTACCAAGGAACTTTGAAAAGTCTTCTCAGAGCCTGGCTTTGTGCAATTTCTAACTGGTGAATAGTAGTGTTTGAAGCTTTGCTAAACGCTACATAACCATATAGAAGTGACGGACGAATTATTTGGTTATATATCAGTTTCCTGTATATAAATATCGGACACAGAAATATTTCCTTGCCACAGCACATCGAAGTTTATATCGGTTTATGTATAATCATTCTTTTTTATTACTGAATCCCTGAATTCTATTACTACTGGGTCTATTTTATTGCTTATTGTTTTCGTATATATTGCATTTATCTAAAAGATTTATAAGTTTATTTTCTGCTTTTAACCTTATTATTTTGAGTATTATGTTGAGTATTTCATTATGAACTTTCAGCAAAAAAAAAGAAAATATTAAAACAAAAAACTCCCTACCGAAATGTAATAAAATTTTTCTGCTTTGTTTTGCTAAAACTTTATTCCAAACAGGACACTCCTATAAGAGCATCAATGATGAGATAATTTGGGTAAGCATTGGCATGGGTATCATCATCTTGCTGCTAATTGCAATGGCACTCTGCTACATCGCTTACGAGAAGTGTCACAAGAAACGTGAATACTATATAAACGCATAACGAGCTTCTGAACAACTGGTCATACTTAATAAGCTCGTTTTTCTGCTCACTTCTTAGAGTGAAGTTGGTAAAAACAAAAACATTAAACGAAAACCGTAAAAATGTATAAAAATTAATAATAAAGTTTTTTTTGCAGCTGTTACGAAAGTGCATAGTAACGACGTTATTACCAGCATATCACGTTGAAGACACGTAAATTCAAAATATTAAAACCAAAAATGTAAGACGCGGAACACAAAATCCTCTATTTGATACTAAACGAACTTCGTCCATGATGAACCTTTTTCATCCTAAGAACACACTTATGAAAATGTACTCTTATAAGTATACTAAGCATTCGTACACACCTACAATAATGAACTTACATAAAAAAACACATATTACACTTACATTACACTTGCTTTACATATAAATTGGACATACATTAGCACATATTTTTTCTTAAATGCTGATATATTAAGCAGTACTTCTAATAGAAGTTAAGACGGCAAGGAGAAATGCGCACATCAACTATCAAGTATTTACGACAGCCTTTTTTGCATTACAGTGGCGTAGCTGGAGATGTATTGAAGGGGATTGTTTATCAAATTGCTATATTTAATTTAAGTGGTAAACAGCAAGAATTTAAAAGAAGATATCTAAATAATACGAGTTAAGTTATTTCTTAGTAAGAGAACTAACTGTTAGCAGTGTCGTTAGTGAATTTTGTTTTCAACTCATATCGAGAAATATTTAATATAGTACATTAAGACCGAAAAGTTTTCGGAAATTCTCATTTAAAATTCGCGCGCTGTATATTTTTCGATATTTTAAGTTTATGTAGTTTGGCAGCACTGTCCTTAATTACTATGCCAAAAATGAGCGCGATCTGTCAGACAGTTCGTTTACGGCAGCTGTTGAAACCAGTTCACCTCAGTAGGGCGTTGCGAAAAAAACAATGGAAAAAAATATTGAACAAAGAGTTTGCATCAAATTTTGTGTTTCGAACGAAATTTCGTGTGCAGAATCGTTGCGAATGCTACAAAAGGCTTATGGGGAATCAGTTTTATCGAAAACTCAAGTTTATGAGTGGTACAAAGCCTTCCAGGACGGTCGTACGACCGTCGAAGACATTTCGCAACGCACTACTGAGGTGAACTGGTTTCAACAGCTGCCGTAAACGAACTGTCTGACAGATCGAGCTCATTTTTGGCATAGTAATTAAGGACAGTGCTGCCAAACTACATAAACTTAAAATATCGAAAAATATACAGCGCGCGAATTTTAAATGAGAATTTCCGAAAACTTTTCAGTCTTAATGTATATCAATACAAAGAAGAAACAACGGAGATTCTTTTATTTTATACTACAAATTCAAAAAAATCAATCTGCTTTTAAAAATAGCCTCAAGACTCCTTTTTTGTTTGTAATCTGACAATAGATCGTGACTTTAAATTCTAATTAATCAATTAATTCAAACTGGTCGCTGCGTAGGGGCCTTAACCTAACCCAAACCCCCAAATACCATTCACCAATTCCATAAAACTTTACTATAACCCTTTTTTTTAAATGATTGAATAAGTTAAAAATGAAAGAGTGAGATAACAATTATCACAATTATATGATTCCAAAATAAAAATTGCAGCTTTTCTTTAATTTTACTCTGATTCTCTTTTATGTACACTATATTATTATTTATTCATTACATGAGTAATAAATTTAAGTTAACCTAAACAATTTTAGAACAATAAATTGTCTAACATACTGACAAATGATCATACCAAAAAACTTAATTTATTTACTTGAAACCTTAGCCTTTCAATAACCTACAGGATTTCCAGAAAATTTTAGAAGAATAAACTAATATACTATCCAATGATCATACCAAGAAACTAAATTTATTAAGATGGAACTAAGCCTTTCAGTAGTCTACAAGATTTCCATATTCGATGTATGTGCTAAGATGGAATATTATAGTATTATATTATAATATTAATATATTCTAATATTAATCTCTTAACACAGTAGCTGATTATTATGGATATATTTTATTACATATTTTAATTTATATATGATATACGGTAATTATCTTAACAAAGTTGTTTTCATTTATACGAGCTACAGCCAGCAGTAAATTAATCTTTGTCATACCAGGTTTTAATAAACTTATGTTTATTAATATTAAATCAATGTATTAAGGTTAAGTTCAAAAGAACTTCAAAAAACTTTTCTAAATTCAAAACAAATCGTTACGAGCCATGTTTTGTAGAGTGTCACAAAAATTGCAATAATTTGCTTCTAAAAGACACAAATACTTACAATTGTTACTGAATAATATTGCTTTGCCTAAGTGACAAGGCCCAGTGAGCCTAGTTCGACTCCAAATTTAAACCAATATATTGTTTTTTCTCTCACTCACAATTTTATAATTTGCATTGAAAACAAGAATTTTGCTCATGATGAGTACATTACAGGGACCTAACAGACATATACTACAAATGGAACATAACCCAAGCCTAATATATTTTTTCAAGTTTGCTATACAAAATATTCAAAAATTTAGGGCTCACAATTTGAAGTTGTTCGGATTTCAGAGGTATAAAAAGCTTACAAAGCTTAATATATATTATTTATGTACTTATATAAAAACTATTGATTTTGATATGTAGCCTAAGAGCTTTCTTCAAAAGTTTGTTACACAAAAAATTTATAATGATAGGCCCCATAAGTTGAAGCTGAAGATTTCAGAGATATATTAAAACTTTTAACATTCTTAAAAAATTAAGAATTAATCTATATAAATTTTAGATTAAACTTCATAAGAGTTATAAACAAGTTTAATAGTTACTATATATCTGCATATAAGTTCTACAACATCAAATGATATAACGTTTTTATATTGAAAACTTAAAAATATAAAAACTCAAAATATAAAATATATATAGAAAATATAGAAAATTTCTAAATGATCTAGAATAATGTAATATTTATTTTATGTAATATTACATATATGTAAAATTTTTTATGTAAAAATGTTAAGAAAAAATTTTTAAATGAAAAAATCAATTTTTTGTTAAGGCCAACTTCTTTTACTTTAGAGAACTACTCTGGTCTGTATTTTTTGTTGATGCCTCATTAAAGCACCCGAGCTTTCAGTACCTTTTGTAGATATTCATGTAACGGTGCAATTATAGTAATAACGAGAGCCGATATATTAAAATTTTTAAACTTGCGCTTACTCTTACAAATGGTTCGCATAGACTACTATATGATGAGTAAATGCAAAACAAGATTCTGGGTTCTCCTCTAGGATAATAACACTCACATTCCACTAACTACTGTGAAAATTCTAATTTACAACCAATAAATGCAGAGCAAACCTATTGCTTATTCCTTAGGATACACACTCTTACAGTTGATCAACTGATTCAAATAAACTATGTTACTATCTGTAAATACAGAGCAAAACTATGCGTTCATCTCTAGAACATTAGCTCTCCGCTTTATAACCAGTAATAACATAGCAAGACTATTGGACCACATTTACGACATGACTTCTTACAGTTAACTAATTGTGTCAAATAAACTACTTTACACTGCAAAACTAGACAGTTCGTCCGTCGAATATGCGGAATATACCACGAATTTTCATATAAAATAAACAAGACTAGGATTAAGCGTGGCTTGCATATAACTGGCTACAGTCTGCTCTTAGAATAGTTTGTCAGGAAAATGAAAATATATTTTTAATGTCCCTCTCTGACTGCAAATAAGGGTCGAACGAAATATATTCTTCTGTCTGTCACTGTATAAAATTGTCAATACTAATTGATTAGTTAGTTCTACAAATTAGCTTCTGATTACTAACATTAATAATGATATATAAAACAAAATTCCAAATTTATAGGAATTACAAATATAAAAAAACATAAATACTATTTTCGAACTTTTATTATTAAATACCATTTACAATATTTTATAAATGCTTAAAATATTTAGTTCTCTGACTAATGAAGAAATTTCCATGCTATATTGTCTTGAAATCCACTTACCCCTACCTAATACTTACTGCTGCGAACAACATTTCACTGTCATAAAAATATGCTGGAAAAATGTTCCAAAATAACGTAAAAGTTATTCACGATGCAATAAATACCGTACAACGACTTAATGTATAAAATTATTATTTATTCACTCTTAGTTTATTATCCTCAATCATAACGTTTCGAAGGAGCAGAAGTGAAAATTCTTTATTTTTTATGATTTCGTCTGACTTTATGTGCTTCTCCTTGTACAACAAGGAATACGAATTCCTTTATTTTTAGTTACTTTCTAGTTGCTTTCCTTTGTATTTGAATGTTGCTTTGCAAGAATGTAACAAATTGTGAGGGATTTGTTGGATTTTTATATTCGGAACTATTTTCCAGCATCATAAAAATGATACCACTTATCAGCACTAAACTTTAATTGACGTCAACTTAACACTTTCCAAACGATTAACTTTAAGTAAAGATAATAAATATTTTAATAAACCAATAATATGAAATATTATGTGGAACCGAAATTCTAGTTTAAAATCTCTAAAAGTAAATAAAATTTATGATGCACAAAAGTTACTTTAAAAATTACTTTATGACCAAAAATTTTATATACACATATAAAAAAACAGAAAATTACTAATACAATATATTCACTACAGCGATATTTTTAAGTCTAAGATAAGGCTACAGTTACGAGCAAGTATGATTTAATCAATTGAATGCATTAATTACTTTAGTGAGACTAATTTCTAATATCTAAATGTAACTACTTTAATAATGTAATGTAATTACATCAAAGCATGCATAATTACCACCACTATTTTAAATAAATTAGTAACGAACTTAAATACTATAAGGGTATTCACTTTGTCTTGCAAGCTCATTGTAAGGTGCACAAAATGCACAGAGTGCGCAAGCTTGCAATGGGTAACCTTGCAATGGGTAACACTACAATGGGTAACATTGCAATGGGTAACAAATCCACAATGCAATTGCTTGTAATCTGTTTTGACATCTGTTGCTTTTTATGTGGATGTGATATACTGCAAAAACAGCTGTTTCAGTTTCAGTTTGCAATTCTGCAACAAGGGTGTTCTCGAACTCTTGCAATTTTAGTGTAACATTCTTGCATTTCATGCACCTTGCAATGACTTTCCAAGACAGAGGGAATACCCCTTATACATATATTTTCTAATGATTTCGTATCAAAAAAATCAAAATTTCTTACTTAAAATAATGAAATCCCGAAGAGCATTACTTGGTAACTAGTATTGATTACTTGTTAAACTACTAAGTAGTAACTAATATTATGCCAAGAAAGAAACAAACCAATATTTAAAATAAATATTAATAACTAATCTTTAAAAGATTATATCTTTAATATCTTTAAAAGATAAAAAAAAAGATTATGTTTTACTTGAAGTAATTAATAGAAAAAGTGCATGTACTATACAATTCTTGCTCACTACTGTAACACAATATACAATATACATAGTACTCCTTGCGAGGGACCAAAATCTATAAATATATATATAACCAAATATTTACTTTACTTACACTATATTGTAATTCAGAATTGTTTATATTACTTTATATAATTACTTTATATAAATTTATATATTCATGTTAGAGGGAAAAATCTTTATAAATGTTTTAAAATATAATAAATTATAATAATATATTTATGTGTGTGTAGATATTTAAATTTATATGTATTAACTAAAAATATGTATTTTCAAAACTTATACTATATATAGAAACTGTTATATTACGGTTATTATACTGTTAAAAAATATGATCTGGTTTACTTTAAATAAAACTTAAATGAATGTGATGTATGTATTGTATTTATGTGGAAATTATTTATATATATTTACCAAATAAAATATATAAACTGTACAAATGTACGTGATCCAAAAGAAATTGTTTTATTTTCATCAGTAAACAATATATAATTGTGGAAGATATGAATTTTGCAAGATATATTTATGTCAGTCATATAAAATAATGTAGTTAAAATAAAGATCTTTTCATTACTTCAATATAAGGTATATTTATCTAAAAATGTCAAACCAAGTAATGTAATTTAATTTATGTGAATAAACTAATTAATAACCCTTAGACGAATGGTTCCCAACCGGTGGCTAAAAATGGTTCGCGAATCAAATTTATCAGGTATGAATTTATCAGGTATCAGGTAGCCTATATAATGTACCAATCCACTTATAAAATTCATTATAAATTGTACCACAGCTGCCCAACTCGAATAACTTGAAGCTCTACGGGCTTATTACAACAACTTAAACTTTCAGTTGTAAGATTCCGGAAACAGAAATTTAGAATGCGTTGCAAACATTGAAGAGTAAAACATTTGAACATTTGAAGAGTAAAAGTTGGCGGAAAAAAATTGCCTGCATTTTCCATATTAAAATCACTTTTAGATAGTCAAAAGTACGATATGATCAGTACGCATATATACGACAACATTAGAATATATCTGAAAGTACTAGGCGATGAATTTAATCGGAATATGCGGAAAGTGAATCACAGGGTATCCAAAAGCTTTTTGGATACCTTTTGGCATTAATGTTGAGGAAGTAAGTTAAGAAACACAAGATAAGATGATTGATTTACAAAATAATAGAAACTACCAAGGCATTAAATCAATCTGGATAAACAGCTTACAGCTATATGGCAAACGTAGAAATCCTGCAAAGAGCTCAAACAATGATTCTAAGAATGGTAACTGGTGTGCCCTTGTATATTAGAAATAAAAACATACATTTCGATTTGGAAGTTGCAATGGGTGAAATCGACCTCAAGAGAAAAAGGAATAAGGTTTTCAAATCAAAACCATATAAATTCGCTGATTAGACTTCTTGCTAATATGATAAAATCTTCTAGATCGAATCGGAATGATAGACCTGTCATACTGCTTTCCTAAAGATTATCCTATTTAATTCAACTTTTGCGCAATGATATCTGACAAATAAATCCTAACTACTTATTCAGAGATCTCTTAAAATAATTTACGATTTATTTTATAAATCATTGCAGTATGTTTATATAAAATAATTTGTTATGTATTGTTATGAGTTTTTTAAGATTCTAAAATTTATTGATAGATTTTAAATAAGAGCGACTCAATAAAGCCATATTGCAAGTTTACTGAAGAAAAGCTATTTATATCTCTTGAAATAAAAATTTGGTGTTAATCTTTTAAAACCTCAATTTTTACAAACCCCGATTTATGGCACTTCTAATTTACGTTTGGCGCACGCCGTTAAATATAAAAGAATATGCGTTGCCAAAAAAGTTATAGAATTTAAGCTCTTAGCAATTTTAAATATACTTGTGGTGATTCTCTAATTAACCAAATGTTTAACCGCAAAACTGACAATGATATTTCACAGCGTTCTATTATAACAAACTCTTTGAGGATGAATGTTGCACTGGTATGGCGTATGTAAATCCGCAAGCAGTCAGTTAACTGTTGTTATTAATATTAAAAAGGAAAAAGTTTTCTAAACTAAATTAAATAAAGTTTTTTTTTATCTGCCAATATCAAGAGTTCAGAACTCATTCATTGCAATAAAAGGTATATTAAGATACCTGATGTCCGATTTATGACGATCTCACCTTTGCACTATGCTATTTACCACATGTCTTCTGCCGGGTCTAATTAGTCTGACAGCATATCATTAACTATACTGTGGGAATAGATTAGATTGTCTTAATCCTTCTACATCTTCCATTAGTTGAAATGTAAACAAGTTAGTTTAAAAACAATTCATATTCAATGTTCTTAAGTAATAATGTAGTATGAAAAGTCGAAATACCCAAAAAATACTAGAGCTCTATGAAGTGTGTTAAAGCACCCTACCTTGCAAACTTGGTATACATCATTACTTTCAAATCTGCGTATCCAAGTATCCAAATAAATGTTACTTTGTTTTAGCTAATTCTGATAAAAAGTAGACGACTGGAGAGAATTTATAGTTGCATGACATTCCGAATATATATAATTCTTCTGTGTCGCCTTTTGAGACATTTCACAGCTCAGATTTCAATGTATTGCATTTCTACCTGAAAGACTTTGGTAAGATTATAATTAAAATGACTAGATTGATTCCAAATACCACTTTATCCGATTTTATGTTGTGAGCTTTCAGTGAACCAAACGCGCATTAGATGGGAATAAAAAGTTCTTATTCGTACCGTTACAAAATTGCAGAAAGGAAGTTTACCTTTACGCATATTAAAAAAATTAAGAATAAACTAATGGCCGTCAAATCTTGGGAAAGTTCTATTAGCTCGTCCTACATGTACAGAAATTTGCTGCGAAGGCAAAGACTAACTGTGGGTAAGAATAGAGTGATAAGGCAAAAATAAAACCAGTGCTCTTCACTAGAAAATAAAACTGTCCAAGTATCATATGAACCTGCCAAATTAGAAGCAATAACTTTACATGTTTTACTCAAACGAGTCATAGCTGCACGATATATCCGTTGTTCAATTTCAAACTTTTTTGTTAGGATTTTGGAATTTCTGAAAAGATAACAACTGAAGCATTTATAGGAACGTAATTTAAATCTCAACACAGTATTGATCATATAATTAAACAATAGTTAATCAATTATTGGTGATTTTTTATTGTTTTTGGGTTTTAGTTAATAACTATTTTATTACAAAGATTGAAAAGCAATATAGCGCTATAAGAATAATTGAACTTTTCAGCTTCTTCTTGTATATATTAAATACATTAATAAATATTCTTATAATTATGAAAGTTTAGATTTCATTTCAAAGATTTATAACTATAAAAATCAAAAAAAAAAGAAGGATAACAATATTAGATAAAATTTACATAATTTGTCAGAAAACGTTTTCTGGCTTTTAGTTTTATATTGATTAGAGCAGTTAATTTTTCTTTTTCAAATTAAAATATAATTTAAAATATACATTTGAATGATAACTAAAGCGATTAAGTAATTTATATATATTTTTATATATATATACATATATTGTTTAATAATTTATACATATAATATATATTTATATATATATTATTCATTAATTTATATATATATATATTATTCTTTAATTTATGTATATATTATTAATCAATTTATATATATATATATTCTTTAATTTATGTATATATTATTAATCAATTTACATATATATATATTGTTCTTTAATTTATATATTGTATTGTTGTTGTCAGAATTTTATCTGAGCCAGCAGCGATAAAACGTCGACCGAAACAGATAAATTCATGCATTATTCCAACTAAACCTATTTTAGAAATATGGACTATGTATTGCAAAGATAAGCTTAAACTAACTGATATACACTATACCGAATATATATATAAAGAAACATTGTACTAAATTATTTATTTAAAAAAAATTATATTCCCAGAAGTTGGCTTGTAGCTTCCTTATCCTCTTGATACCCTGTCAAATCATCGACTTCAATTTTCTCAATTTTTATGCTAACACCTTTCTTAGCATGCGTTACTTTGTGATTGCGCAATTTATAGCTTTGTTGGAAACCTTTTCCGCAAATGTCACAACTGTTTCAAATACAAATCATTAATAATAATATATTAAAAAAAAGATATAGTAAAGTAATTATACTTACACAAACGGTTTTTCGCCTGTATGTATCATTTTATGGAATTTTAACGTATTCGTATAGGTAAAAGCTTTACCACATACATCACAGACATATGGACGCTCATTGGTATGTATACTAAATAGAGTTCAAATAAAAATAGTATAAATATATTAAATATATATATGTTCAGTATATATTCAAATAAAAAATATTATACATAATATTATATATTATTATTATATTATATATTAAATATATTTACATTCATTAAATGCATGAATGCATATTTTTATCAAAATATTTTAAAAAAAAATTATATATAACATCTTAAAATTGATCCCATCAAAAAATACATAAAGAATAGAGCCCTGAAATTATTTGCGAAAACGACAGACTTACCAACACCGCGTTATCAAATCTCAAAATGGTTACAGGCTCCTCAAGAAGGTATGACCCCCTCTGAGGTCAATTATTGCTTAGTCTGATGAAGTGATAAACAATAATCCAGTCAAGGCGTAAAGAGGGGTTTTAAAAATACCTCGAGTTAAGAAAGAGTAAAAGTGCTTAAGTAAGTAAAAGTGCTCAAATAGCTTCTACATAATTATTCAAAATATTTATTATGTACATGCTAGTGTTGTTGTTTTTTTTACACAAATAATTTTATATTATAAAAATATTATGTAGGAATACAAAGTATGAAATGGTGAATTAACAGAGATGTTAACAAATCAGCAATCACTCTAAGGCAGATCTCCGTAACTACCACTTTATCACTTCTCTCTCTCTCTCAACGGTTTTACATTATACACCTTTACAGCTAAGTACCTCTCATTTAGTTTCGAAATAGAAGACTTGAATAGTTTACAAAACTGACTGATTCTACTCTTTTGCTGTTTTAAATTTGATTTTATGAAAATAACAAACATAATATTGTAAACTTACCGATGATGTTTATTTCTTGTTGAAAGATCCGCAAATGCTGCTGGACAATAATTACATTTATACGGACGATTTCCCGTGTGTGTATTCATATGCCTAGCCAATTGCTGGGTTTGCGCAAATGCATGTCCACAAATTCTATAAAAAAATACAGAAAATAATTAAAATAACATTTATGACAAAAATAATCATCAAAAATTTACTAAAATTTTCTTTGTTTTATATATGTAAACGAGATCGTGCTGATAATAGGGTGTGTGTACTAGAACTTATGCATAGACGGTTCAATTACCGCTATGATTGGTTTATTTTAAAAACAGGCTTTAAAAGAAATCTGTTAAAAATGATTTGTGACTCTGGTTCATAAAGCTTCAAAAACTTCTTAAATTCGCAAAAATGTCTACTACAAAATCTAGTTTAGTTCTATCTAGTACCGCTAGATACTAATAGCACCATTCATGCTATACGGATGGAGCTATTGGTTATCCTAATTAACCTAACCTGTGTTATATCTACATGCATACAAACAATAGCTAGTGGAGATTATATAGTGTTTAACATTAATTTGATTTTTGACAATTTTTCTTAACAGTTTTAGGAAATTCTCTCGCTATATGATAGCCTCAACAACTACCACAGATAAAAATAAAATATTATAGGTTACATTTTAGTTTTAGTATTGAGTAAGGTTAATGAATATAGAAACCACTAAGATCTTTCACTCCATTCTGTTGTCGTCGATCGCCCCGCAAAGATGATGACCGCAAAACAGGAACCGCAACAACATTCACAATTGCACAAAGTTCGATCAATCCATTTACATATCCATTTACTGAATGTAGTTATCATCTGCGTTGGATATAAACCTCTGAGGGCTTGAAACTATTTCAAAGTTTTAATGTAACCAAAATATATGTACAATGTACAAATGTACAAAAAAGCTGTTCAATGGTACAACAGCTCCCATAATTGAATAATTAGGATTCAAATAATTAATTCAAATTATGTCAAAATCTTATACAATTCAAATAATAGAATTGAAAAAAATTGTCTAGTAAGTAACACCGTACCAGTGTTAATCTACGTTACTCATAAAATGAACAAAGCAGATATGAAGCAATATTTTTTCACAGCTGCAACAGTCATTGAAATATATTCAATCTGCTAATATGGCTTTCTATGCGATTTCTACAACGCTGATATCTCTACAGTACAATCGATATCTCAATGAATATTAGTATACTTACTCGCAATCATGAGGTTTTATTCCTTTATGCAATTTGATATGCTCTGTAAGTCGTCCTTGTGAAGGATATATATTACCGCATATATCACATATGTATTGTATACATTCTTTTGATTTGTATTTACGTTTTGGTTCTCTTTTTGGTGATTTAGTGGTCTTTGTTTTTTGTACACCTCGACTGGTGCTTGCCTTCAATGAATTTTCATCATTTCTATTGATTGGTTTCCTACCGCGTTTTTCTGGTTTAACTTTTTCATTTGGTACATAATCTGCATCTGATGTGTTACCCGCATATTCTATTTGTCCCTCGCCTTCTGTTTCTGCTTTTACAATATCATCTAAGTACTCTGTTTCTTCTGTGATGACAGCTTCAACAATCTATACATTAAAATAAAAAAAAATTGTATTTAAAAAAAAAAATCTTTTAAGTAAATAACAATGAACACTCACATTGATTTCTTCACAATCAATAAATTCATCAACATTGTCTATTTCATCGAACTCTTCGACATTATCAATTTCAAGCGGTTCATACATATCCATAATATCTTCTTCATCTATAAGTTCATTTTGTTCTTCTTTTATATTGATTATAGCATCTGGTTCCATTTTCAATTCCATTGCGTCTGACTCTTCAGCTATTAAATCATTTGTGTCGATTGGTATCCGCTCCACAACAACTGGCGCGATGAAACGACTTAAATGTTTGTGGGAACGTTGGCACATTACACGGAATTTATATGCTACACGTAAATAACGTAGACATCTGCCACATATCTTATCCGGATAATGATCAAACTTTTTTATCTATATTATTTGTGCACGAAAATATAATATATGTTTGTAAATATCTAATTGAATATTCAAAAAACTTACTGGTACACCGCCACATTCAAGTATCATTTGTGTTAAATCATTGTTGTCGTTGGTGTCAAAAATAGTGTTCATCGTCTCTTTTGGTTGTTTTAAACAGACTCGACAGACTATCCATTTCTCTGTCAAGTTTGATTTCATTTTTACAATATGTTGTGCACAATTTGTAATTCCAAATATTTGTTTTCAATAAATTTTACACGATTGACGAAACAAGGTGGCTGCTTTTGTTCTGAACAATCTGGCGTTCTTTTTTAAGTGACCATTCACAATAGTTTTTAAAAACGCAGTGTTGCATTAGACTGTATACTTGTAACTGAAAAATATATTAAAAAATTTGGCATAAATAAATATATGTATCATATATTTATTTATGCCATATATATTTATTTATCCATATATATATAAATTACATGGTATATTCATAAATTTTTTTATAATCTTAAATAAAGCACGTATCAATGATATACTAATATTTAAAAGATAAATATTTAAATACGAATAGTTTAATGCACTTTGACGTGAAAGAATTGTTATTATTAATTTATGACATCATATTATATGATATCTAGTACAAAGTATATTAGTATTAAACATTAATACATTTCTATTGACGTATATAAAATATAATAGTACATTCATACTGTTTCTCTTTAGCACTTGCTCATTTATATTAATGAATGAGCAAGTGCTCATTACATTCACATTATAATGAGCTCAATTATGCAGATAGTAGAGCTTTAATAAACTTCACTTAAGAATATATCACATAAAAAAATGAAATATATAACTATGTAACTGATATATTAAATCATATATATACATTTTATTTATCAATTACATATTCAACACATAAAAGCAAAAATGTTCTTAAATATTTACTTCCTCAGTGCATTGGTTACATTTTACTTATGAAATATATGAAAAATACACCATTTTCTTTTTCCCTTATGGGAAATTTATTTTTAAGGGTTGCATTCCTGCCTTAAATTAGCTAGTTTATTGATAATTAGCTTATTTTTACGAAAAGTTTTTGTATGGTAAATCATTCTCATTAGTGGTTATAATGGGCAAAGCCGCCTAAATGAGACAGTGTGAACGTGCTACAAAATTATTTTATTGTAGTTATATAGAATAATTCTATTGTATTGTGGTCTAAAATTGCAATTAATAGCTAAAAAGCTGTACAGAATTCATAAATGTCAAAAGAACATTATGTTGTTTTCAATTGGTGAATCTGTATTTAATCTAGATTTACTCTCGATCTGTCAAATTTTATTGTCAAATCGAATACGCTTAGAGTAATAGCACATTCACAGTGTTTCAATTAGACGGTTTTGCTCATTATAGTCACTAATCATGATAATTTACCTCACAAAAATCTTTAATGTGCTCATTACCAATAAATCAGCTCATTTAAGATGAAAAACCATTAAAATAAAAATAAATTTCTCACAAGGAAAATTATCAAAATTAGAAATGCCTCATATTTTTTATATGTAAAATGTAGACTAACAAAAGCTGAGTTATAAACAAAGGCACTGAGGAAGTAAATATTTAATAAAATCTGTGTTTTTATTAATTGAATATGTAGTTGATACATATATAAAATAAAATAAAATGTATATAGATGATTTAATATATAAATTATATAATTAATTTTTTTTGTGATATATTAAGTGAAGTTTATAAAAGCTCTATTATCTGCATAATTGAGATCATTATAATGTTAATGTTTCGTTATTAAAATAAATGAGCAAGAGCCTAAATAAGACACTGTGAATGTACTATAATCTAACATTTTTTCAGTCGAATCAAATCACAGCTATTAATTTCATTGTAATGTTGCTAGTTTGGCAAAATATCTAGTGTTATAAATAAATCTCGAGTGTTATAAATAAATCTGGAGTGTTATAAATATATCTCGAGTGTTATAAAAAAATCTCGAATAAAACTAGAGAGTATTTACTTGTATGGAAATGATTTTTTTTTATAACATATATAAATTTTAGTTTGATTTGGTTTAATGTTCCAAAGTATTGTCCAGGGTTCTAAATTATTACTTCTTATATATATACTCAATTATTTGTTTGCTAACAACGAACAGCATTTCCTAGACAGGAATTAAAGTTTTAACTTCTGGCTAGTTAGTTGTTGTAACTTAAATTGACCTAGAAAGCAGAGTCATGCAAGGATGCTCAACTTTGAATTTGATTCTGATAGAATGAGAAGAGTGAACAGGGGTATGGTAGAAGAAAGAAAGCAATCTTTTTAATTTAATAAGAGGGAACTGTAAATCAATAAAGTTGAAGTGTGCGTATTTGTATCGCCAGCAGTTATTTAAGCGTGAAGAGTGACTCTTTAAGACGTTGTTATATCCAGACCTTAATTTAATGAGAACAGTTTTTGCAGCACATGAGTGATGTATTTTAGATGAAGGACCTTTAAGATCTTTGTTGTTATATAATTGAAGTGTCGAAGAATATGGTTTTTCGGTACGGTGGTTAGAAATCCTTCATCGAAATTCGACGTTATTGATACTCAAAATATATATGCTTTATTATTTATATATAGATCATTAAACATACTGCATCTTTTGTCAATTTTAATTCTTATAAAGACAGTAATAATTATAAACAGTCACACTATCATTATTTCATTACATTAAGAACATTTAAAGACAGTACAATAGTATAGACATAGAAGATATCATATATGTGTTTTTAAACTTTTTTGTTTATAAAAAGCGTATTTTTATTTCAAAAAGAAATTAAAAATAAAACAAATTAGCAATTTTCATTAAATTTATGTATTTTATTCTATTTGACACACAAATCTAATTTTTTTATTATTCATATATCTTATGAAATTATACTTAACTATATTTCTCATTCATTTCTGCACACTAGAAGCACGGACAACTTATGTATAGATGTCTAACGTTTTTAGCCAAAATTCGTAATACTAATATGCCGTTCACACTACAAGCTTAAGATAATTTACGAAATGAACCTAAAGTGTTTAAACACACTCCACATTTGTTTTAAAAGTTTTCGATTCCTTACGGAAGGAGGACTTTAAAAAATGCACTCACATTATATAGAACAGCTGCTATCAGAAATTTAACTGAAAAATTGCGAGAAAAAAAGGAAGGAAGGCAGCTATAGTAAATTGTGTGATAATGCTAGAAAATTTTTGCAATTTTACTAGACAAAAAACAAAAGAAAATATTCGGCAAAAGCATAAGCAGCATTTTTTGCGTTTCTTCGCTAGCAGATTGTAATTGAATTTGGAACTAAAAACGAACATTAGTTAGTGTAATGAGAAGTGCTTATAACACTTTGAATCGTAATTTATTTAAAATATTCAAGTTATGTCATGTGTTCTCTGAAGACAAAGTATTTGTTGGCATTGTATTTTATATACAGTGAAACTTCCATAACTCGACTTCTATAACTCGAATTTTCTATAACTCAAATTAAATAGACTGCAACAGGGTTTAGAGAGCAAATTAATACAATTCTTTAACTCGAGGTTAGCTGTAGACTAAATCGCCATTGTACGATCAAATTTAAAAATTTTAATGGGGATTTGTTTTGTATGGCATTGTTATTATCTATAAATAAGTGACCTGAGCTAGAAGCATGCAAAATAATAAATAAACTAATTTATAGAAATTGATACATAGGCGATGACTGTTCATAGAAAACTTACACAATGATCTGCATCAATCCATATCATCGGGGCATATAAAAAGGATTCCCTTCTTGTGTGTACGTTCATGTGCTTTTTTGTGATGAACTTGAGCAAATTTTTTGCCACAAGTTTCGCAACTAAAATTATACGAAATTGTTAATTAAAAAACCAAATAATAGTCAATTATTTCAACCTGAAAGGTTTTTCACCACTATGCATCATCATGTGCACTTTCAAGACATTTGAGTAGGCAAAGCTCTTATTGCAGATTGTACAACTGTAAGGTCGTTCATTAGTGTGTATACTGAAAAAATTAAGAATTATAAAATTAATTTTTACACATTTTCAGTAAATCGTATGTTGTATAATTTAATAAATTACTACCGTTCATGTTTAATTTTTGTTGAGGGATCTGTAAAAGCAGCACTGCAATATTTGCATTTAAAAGGGCGATTGCCTGTATGAGAGTTCATATGGCGCGCCAATTGTGGTGTGTGAGTAAAACGTTTGTGACAAATTCTAAAAAAAATACGAAATTAGAATGTTATATTAATAATTTCAATGAATAACGTACTCGCATTCATGTGGTTTGTCTTTTCTGTGATATTTCATGTGAGCTGTCAATTTAGATTTCTCATTATAAATGTTTCCACAATGGCAACAAATGTGCGCTGGATACGATTTCAGTGCCTGTTTGCGTTTGGCTGGTGTCTTTTGTGTACTTCCTGTTTCCGATTTATTTTCTTTACTTATTTTTTTCTTAAACGTAGTGGGCATAACTTGTACAGATGTTATTTGCAATTCAGTTTCGCTTACAGTTCTGTTAATAATGTCGCTATTTTGTTCCAATCCATAATCACTACTTTGACTCTCATCATACGGTTCATAGTCATTGCTATTAGATGCTAAATATGATGCTTCTGTGGTGAAGTTTGTTTCTTCTTGTAAAAATTCATCATCTTCACTTGGCATATTATCCAACTAAAATTAAAAAAAAAAATTACCACAACCAGGGTTTGAATTGCTGTTGCTAATTGCATTGCTTGCATAATTGCTAACGCATTGCATATGAAAATGAAATAAAAATATGCATTAGCAACAGCAAAAAACGTAAACTGGTTTCATTTTGATTGCTTGCTAATAGTCAATTTTACATTTTTGACTATTATGCATTTGGAATATATGCAACTTGCTTGCTTATGCGTTAGTTGCTTGTGTTTTGCTATTAGCAAATGTGTATGGATTTCTTTTTTTGTTTTTGTTTTAAGGGAATGTGTACGCATTATTTCTTTGTCAATTATGATGTGTGCGTACAATTTGTATGCAATTAATATAATTTTATTTGTAATTAGATTATGCCTAAACTTATGTTTATTTTAATTATTAAATTTCTGATATATATGATATATATATATATATATATAGATAGATATATATATATATATTAATTAACATTTCAACATTTTAAAATAATTAGTGATAGCGATTTAGCAGTTTGTAAAATTTGCAAACATTCGTTGAAGAGGGACAGAATATTTAATTTAAGAACGCATTTAAAAAATATGCACCAGTTAAATATAAATGAAAATGAAGATTCCAGCTCAAGTACTAGTGCAATAGTTGTGAAAAAATCATTCCGAAAACAAACAATTAAAATCGAAATGAGCAAAAAAGAGTTATTTCGCTGTATATTGGCTTAGTAACTGAGGACAGTATTCCATTTAATGTCCTTAAATCGGAAAATATGAGAAAGATTATTGACCCTATTCGTCGTGGCTTAGAAGAAAAATTTAATAAAAAATTTGTATTGAACAGCAATAACTGTAAAAGTGTCTTGAAATTAGTTGCTGGCAATATTAAAGAACATATTAAAAAAGAGCTCAAGCAACGATTGATTTCCTTAAAAATTGACAGTGCCACAAGATTGTCTCGCAATATATTTGCTGTTAGTGCACAATTTATAAAAAACAACGAAATTATATCAACCATTTTAGGAATGGTGGAACTGAAAGGAGTGGCATCAAGTTCATCTCGTAATTTGTCGACGGAAATTGTGAACTTATTGAGCAAATACAATGTAAATCTCAATCAAGTTGTATCAATTACATCAGATAATGGTGCAAACATGATCAAAACGACAAAGATTTTATCGCACTGTAGCATCGCCAACGAGCTGTACGAAGAAGTCGAGGCTGAGGAAGCAAATGATGTATATTTAAAAAATATCGAACTTTTCGAAGATACAATTGACATTCAGTTGGGCGACATTCAAATTTGCCGTTGTGCTGCTCACACTGCTCAGCTCTGTGCACTGGATGCTACTAAGGACTTGAACATTAGAACTTATTTGATGAATTGCAGAAACTTAGTCAAGTTCATCAAAAAAATTCTAACGGCTATCGTGAAATTTTTGAACTAAAAAAGTTGACTCTACCACAACTCGATTGTCCTACACGGTGGGGATCGACATATAATATGGTAGAAAAAGTTTATGCAGCCAAGGAAGTTTTGGACAACGTAGAGTCTGTACAAAATAAATCTTTAGATGAGAATTTTGAATTATGCGATGAAATTTGGGAGTTTGTGAAGAGTTATTCTACTGTGTTTGAACCATTACAACGAACAATCATAAAATTTCAAGAAGAACATCTGCATTATGGAAATTTTTTTGCACAGTGGATGAAGTGCAATCTTATAACCAAAAAAATTGTAAATGATTTTGATGATAAAAGTTCTCTTGTAAATAAAATTGGAACGAATTTGTTGCATAATATAGAAGTGAGAACTGTAAAACTTTTAACAAACAAAAGCTTAAACGCATGTTTGTATTTGGACCCACGCTTTAGCCATACATTGACTGTAGAGCAAAAAAACGAAGCTGTTCTGTTTTTAAAACGACTATATAATAGACTGACAGCACTGAACTCAGGTTTCCTAATTGATAAGAAGAATTCAGCCACAAATTGCACACAAATGGAAGATACTCTCGAATATGAGGATAGGTACCTTAATGATTATCTTTCTAACCACTTCGAAGCTCAAAGTAATAACAACATGGACGTCTACACCAAAATTGAAATTTTGAAGTTACCTTTTCAACGTGTTGATATACATTAAGACCGAAAAGTTTTCGGAAATTCTCATTTAAAATTCGCGCGCTGTATATTTTTCGATATTTTAAGTTTTATGTAGTTTGGCAGCAATTAAGGACAATTACTATGCCAAAATGAGCGCGATCTGTCAGACAGTTCGTTTACGGCAGCTGTTGAAACCAGTTCACCTCAGTAGTGCGTTGCGAAAAAAACAATGGAAAAAAATATTGGACAAAGAGTTTGCATCAAATTTTGTGTTTCGAACGAAATTTCGTGTGCAGAATCGTTGCGAATGCTACAAAAGGCTTATGGGGAATCAGTTTTATCGAAAACTCAAGTTTATGAGTGGTACAAAGCCTTTCAGGACGGTCGTACGACCGTCGAAGACATTTCGCAACGCACTACTGAGGGGAACTGGTTTCAACAGCTGCCGTAAACGAACTGTCTGACAGATCGCGCTCATTTTTGGCATAGTAATTAAGGACAGTGCTGCCAAACTACATAAACTTAAAATATCGAAAAATATACAGCGCGCGAATTTTAAATGAGAATTTCCGAAAACTTTTCAGTCTTAATGTATGTTTATTTATTTATTTGGTGACACAAAAATTCTCTGACCTTTAAAAAGTCTTTTGTGTACACTTTAATTCTACCAAATTTATTAGAGTTAACATACATAGGGAATAAATTCGCAATGAAACCAGTTCTTAAAAATAAATGATGTCATCCACTTATTACTAGATTTATTTATTTCCGGATTATTGAAAAAATCTTTAAGAGCATGAGGATTTTTCGATTTTCTAACCACTAACAATTTCAGTTTGTCTGTGCCATTCGCATTTTAACAGGACAGAAAAATTATTCGTTCTTTACCAACTAAATCTTTCCCTTCCCGTTGACTAACTACATGTGATAAGAGTGTGATTTAGAAGCATCCGATAATATTAACCGTCTCATCGGCGTTGTAGATTTGATCAAGAATCAACCCATGCTTGACCATCCTTGCACAAATAGATTAACAAGAAAATGTTACAAAAAAATTTTTCGTCGGTTATTTTTAAAAATCTGATTCCACGTGCTTAATGTCGACGCTTAAACTTTTTAAACCACCCATTACAGCATTGAAAGTTGAATTAGTTTGGTAAATTTTGGAATTTTGCTTTTGATCCTAAAAGGACATTTTGAAAACATTTATGTATACAAATAAACGGGTACGCGTTACTTTCATAAAGTGGAACTTGTTAGAATATTTATAAGTACTTTATATTAAAATTAAAATTATTTTTAAATTTAAATAAACTTATGCTGGAATCGTCATAGATCATAATCGCGCCATCTATTAGTCAATAGAAATACCACACTGTTTTTTTTTTATCGTTAAGCTTTTCAACCTACAGCATATTAGACACGCAAAATATATTATTAAAACTAACATACCATACCATCGTACCATAAGGCAGTAATAAAATCTATACAATTTTAACAATTTTGCGCCAAGTACTTAATTTTCAACCAAGTGCCTTCATTCTGCCATTTTACCATTGTGTACGTCCTAAACAAATATAGGTGATAGAAGTGCGAGGTCTCCTTAGTAAACCTTAGTTTAATCCATAATTCAACAAAGTTTATTTTTCAAAAAGATTTCACTAAACTCTGCCTAAAACTAGTATACCACCCAACACCTTAATGAATAGTAGTGGCATTGTTTGACCCCTAGACTTACTTCCCACTGTTTTTTGCTTTCAAAGTAAACCATATAGTAAACCAATAGTTTTACATAAATTTTAAATAATTGTATAGATATTATATTATTAAATAAATAACATATATATTACCACTATTTTAAAAATATAACAATTATTTATCCCGCATTTTGTAATGTACTTTCTTTTGATTTAAGACGAAGATTGATTAAGATAAGCATTACCTTAATAATGCTAAACATCGTAATGTTATGTTATTACTTACTTAATGCCACTACGCTACTTAATGCCTTTCTTAAGAAGTGGTATTATCATGCATTCCTCCAACATGCCAGAATATCTTTATTCTGTCACACATTTTACAGGATTAGCTTAATAGTTGAAACGATCGCTTACACATTGTATTAATAGTAATTACAATTTTAATAATTCAGGCGAGATACCATCCAATTCGATATCCCTCACCGCTGTTAAATAAGAAGAGGACCTAAATCTTATTATATTGATCTACCTGTGATGCCTAGTGCTCTAGTTCTTCTACCTGATAGCTCAGGTAATCAGGATTTAAAGCGAGTAGTTGACACTAAAAACTTCGTATTTTATACTATTATAATCAAAATCTTATTTTAATAACAATTTCTCATAATGAAAAATTTTGAATTTCATGCAGTGAATATAGTAAATGTGAATTATTACCTATCATATGTCCAGATATATTTCAAATATTAGTAAGTATATATAAAAATTTAATGGGTTTTTTTTGTACCTATTGGGTTTTTTAACTGCTAAATCGTTCCATTTGATTTTTATGATACACAATCTCTATATAAATGGCCCCAATATAGGCCCATTTGTGATCACGGCTTTATAAGAGGAAATGATATATTTAAAAAGAGAGCATTGATAATTGAAGAGCAAAAATAGATTTTACTTGCAGACTAAGAGTTAGGTTACGAGAAAATTACAAGTGAACTGTTGAATAGAAGATGTGGGGTTTTTCCTTACTCATATGGCATTCGACATATCTCTAATTATCGTTCTCCCAGTCTATGTGTTATAGTATTTCAACAATCCGTCTAATCAGCAAATAGTTTGCATTGAAAAGAATAGTGAGACAAACACAGCCTAATGAACAGCGCTAATTCGGTCCCATTGCAAATGTATTTGTAATAAAATCAGTACTATAATTTAATTA